AACCTTCCACAAGTTTGGTCACGCACACTCCCTCCCACTCACCCTTTGGTGTTCCAAGGTAACCCAGATCCCAAGAGAACCAGGTGGGAACCACTCACACATTAATCCTCTCTGCCAAGCATCAGCCAAGAACTCACTTCAGTTAGGAATAATTTTAGGTGGCGATCATAAACCTCTAGATGCAGGTTCGGCACAACCCTTCCCTGTGGGAATGGTGAAGGTGAGAGTGATCCCAGCGCTTGGGGTCCATCCATCCTCTTTGGAGGCTCCCACTCCGCCTTGCAGGGGTTGTTGGAGCGCTCAGGGGGTTTGAAGTCAGGGTTTGTTCTTGTGTGCTGCCTTTGCAGGCAGGAGGCCCCATCTCTGAGAAGGTGGAAGTGCACACGGAGCAGGGGCAGCTGCAGGGTCACTCCCGGGCACGCTCACACTGCAGTTCTGGGGGGATTTATGCCCTGCCTGTGGGAATGGCAGCTTTGCTTCACACTGGGGGCCTCTGGCAGGAGGAAACACTGCTTGCCCTGGACCTTCGGGCAGCTGCGGAAAGGGAGGTCATCAAACCCTGAACTGCTACATTTCTCTTCCCTTTAAAAATTACTTTTTTTTTTTTTTTAATTTGTTCATTGTGCAAATTAATTTGCTCATTGTGCCCATTGTGCAGATGGGATATTGCTCACTCACATTGGATAAGGCTAAACATCCACTGGTTTCTTCCCACCACATCCTTCTGGAGTCAGCAGACAGCCCTTTTGCAACCATCCTCATCCCTGCTGTGGCTCCTGAGGAGCACAGGGCAGGCAGAAGGGAGATACCGAGCCTGGGTGGGTGTTTGCCAGCTTGCCCAGGGACACATTACTGGCATCAAGTGGGCTGGGTGGGCAACACAAATTTGATTCCTGCAGACCTTAAACACCTCCTCCCAGAATGGCCCAGCCAGACTGCAAACAGGGATAATCCTGCACAGGTCACAGCTGTGTCACCTCAGTGCGTGTGGCCAAGGCACACTGACTGCTGTGCCAGGCTGGGAAATGGGACTCCACAGAAAGCCTCAGCCAGTCCCTGGGAAATCTCCCACTTCTGTGTTTGCACCGCCAGGAGCCGGCAGCAGAACACATCCAACCCCTGCAATTACCTGGAAATTGTCAGGAAAAGGCACCGACTCCTGGAGCACAAGTGTCCTCGGCAAGGCAGCCAAAGGCTTCACGCTGCCACACTCCAGCCTTAACTCCCCACTCCAAAAAGCCCAATTTTTACCCAAATCCAGGCAGAAAGAGCTGCCACAGCCAGGGAGGGGGAGCACATTCATCCTTTTATTGGTGCCACCGGGAGGGGCTGTCACTGTGTGCGGGAACAGCGCAGGCACCCGAAAGGGAAGGAAGCAGAGGGTGCTGAGGGGAAAGCAGGGCGAGGCTCCTGCTCAGCCAACACCCAGGAGCAGAGAAGGGCCGGCGTTGTGCCACTCAGCCCAGCGTGTCTCAGGGCAGGGGGGCTGTGTCATTCCTGTCCCACGAGGAATTCATAACCATGGATTCCTGGGATGTGGCCATGGGAAGGACGGGGCGCAGGTCTCCGAGGGGAGGTGCCTCCCGCCGCAGCCGTGGCAGCGCTTTCTTGATGCCATTCCTGGAGAGTTTGTGGAGGGAAAGAAAGGAAACTAGGAGAGTCAGGGGAAAGGGATGGTCCTGCAAAGGTGCTGGGTATGTGTTTTCCAGCCTCTGGGCATCGTCTACCTCTGCATCAGCTTGTGGATGAGCAGCTGGATCCAGGGCGCCTCGGGAGTCACGCACACCTGCCTGTTCTTCTTCAGGGTGAGGCTGCAAGGCCATGAGCCCTCGCCCCATGCATGTCCCTTCCCCAAAGCTTTTCTAACCCACAGAGAAAACGCCCCTGCTCCTTCAGCATGAACATTTTGGGGCCCTGACCTGATGACCCTGAGCCACGCAGGGAGGGACACCCTTGAAATTGGGACCAAGAGTCACCCCGACATTTATGGGCTTCCCCCCTCCACATGCTTCTGCACCAGGACACAAAGGAGCAATTGGCAGGGATTGGTTCCCAGGCTTTGCACTTACATGACCTCCTTCCTCCTGCAGTGAATGCCCGGCGGGGTAACGTGGATGGTGAGGATCAGCCCCAGGTTGATGACGTGGGCGGTGGATTTGATGCATTTGCACCTCATGTTGGTCAGCAGGCTCTCCAGCGACAGACCTGTGCTCCAGGGCAGCCCACACCAGCTCTCGGGGCCCCGAGGGGGAGGCCCATCCCATCCCATCCCATCCCATCCCGTCCCATCCCATCCCATGGATCCCATCCCATCCCATGGATCCCATCCCATCGCATCCCATCGCATCCCATCCCATGGATCCCATCCCATCCCATCGCATCCCATCCCATCCCTGACACCCAGCAGGGCTAATCCCTCCCAGCACAGCCTCAAAGCTTCTTGTCCTGTATATGGAAGGGGTTTAGCTGCAGGGTTGCAAAACTTAGCCAGCATTTTATGAAATAAACCCACTGCCCACCCACCGAGCACTCGAATTTCGCGGGGGTCTGAAAGCGAAGCAGTTTACACCCAAGAGGCAAACCCCCCCTCTCCACCCCCAGTACCCCCCTCCAGCTTAGCCACAGGATTTAAAGGACAAGCTCAAAGACAGGCAAGAACCAGAACTGAAAGCTTAGTAGTTAAAACCCATGCTCAGCCCCATCTGGGACACCCAGTGCCCCTGTCCAGGCCATGGATGGACAGACACCCAAAGGGACTCACCATCCCCTGGCACCAGGCTGCTCAGGAGCAGCGCCAGCACCAGGGCCCGCAGCAGCCGCATCCTCACTGCCCTCCCCAGCTATGCCAGGGCCTGCAGCAGCTGCATCCTCACTGCCCCCCCCAGCTGTGCCAGGGCCGCTTTATAGCCAGCCCCTCGCGCCAGGGGGGATTTCACAACCCCTGTGGGGCTGGGAAGGCCAGAGGAGGGGGAGGACAAAGGGTCAGCTCTAGTTCACTGCCCTTTCTTGCCCCTGCCACACATGGCCTGTTTCTGCCTCTCCACCACAAAAGCAGAAAATGTCGCGGCCACCTCCTCAAACCTGGTTTTGGCCAAAGGCTGCTGCCCCCCATGCCTCCCACCCCGAGCACCCCGACCCCTGGCACGCCACGTGAAGGGAGGCAAGGGACAGGGACAGCGGGCTGCCACCTTTATTGGGCCTGCTGGGTCACGGCCAAAAGGGACTCACAGCACATGGTTACGGGCTGGCAGAGGCTGGAAGCAGGAATGGGCATTTTAAGGGTTTAAAGGCATTAAAAGGGGCTCAGGCAGCAGCATGCTTCCCTCTGGACTGGGGTAAGGCAACAGCAGGATGGGGGAGGGAGGCAGTTTTGGGCCCAGCACATCTGGCCGTGCTTGTCGTGGCAGCTTCCTCAGCGGGGAGCCTTCTTCTTCCTCCTGCCAAAAGCAGAAGGGGAGCAACATGTGAAGAGAGGGTCCCACGGGTGCTCAGGGGGAAAGGGGAGCTTACAGGTGAGGGAGGTCCTGCAAGAGTTTCCTCATCCACGGCGTGTCAGGATCCACGCAGACCCTCTTCAGGCTCTTGAGCGTAATCCTAGAAAACACACGGCCTTTCAGACAACACTGCTCTTGAGCGTAATCCTAGAAAACACACGGCCTTTCAGACGACACTGCTCTTGAGCGTAATCCTAGAAAACACACGGCCTTTCAGACACGACACCTCCCCTCCTGCAGACAGCCGAGCCTCCCGCCGCTGTCGCAAGGACAATGAGCACCGAACCCCAGCAGGGCCGGGAGGGCAGGGCAGAGGGCACCCAGCCCTGGCAGCACTTACACCACCTCGGGGCGCCGGCAGCTGCTCCCCACGGGCCACATCTCGACGCTGCTGTACCTCTTGGGAGGGATGAAGGCTCGCGTGCTCTTGAGGCAGCGGCAGCTCCGGTTGCCGTTGGCTTCCAGGATTGCTGGGGGGGCACACGGCCACAGCTCACACAAAACCCCAAAAGCCTCCCCGGGCGATGCATCTCCTGCATCACCCAGCCCAAAGCCGGGCAGTCCCCGCGGGGCAGGGCAGGCTCACCTGTGTCCCCAGGGCGGTGGGACAGCAGCAGCACGGCCAGCAGCAGGGCTGCCCGCACAGCCATGCCGGCCCCAGCCCGGGCCCCGCGGCATCCCACTATTTGAGTGGGGAAAACGGGAAGTCTTTGGGCACGGGAGGTGGCTGAGACAGCAAATGCTGATAGAAATGGCATTTCTATGGGAAGCCTGGCTTCCCGAAACCGGCTCTGCTTTCCCCTTCCTTTCTTGGTCATTTCCTCCAACTTTGTTCTTAGCACACATAGCCCCCACCAGCCTGGAGGCTTTCTGGGGTGCTTTTCTGTCCTGCACGATCAGGTGTTACTCATTTCTCCTACAGCCACCTTGTCCCCCTGCAAGGCACAACCCAGCAGTGCCCTGGTGACATTTGCTTTTGATTGTTTTTACCCCAAAACTCTGCCAAGACACTCACTCCCATTCCTGACATATTTCCTTACTGGCCTGGACTGGTTTTTAAAACAGCCACCTACAAATCCCAGCTCCATCACTTGGATGTGGAGCACTTCGGCTGGAGTGTCCCATCACCCTACCACCAACATTGTGCCCTCAAATCACCACCAGGGGAGACAACAGGTTATGATGGGAGGGACCCCTGACAAGAGGGGATAGCTTCATAATGCCAGAGGACAGGGTTAGATGGGATAGTCGGGGGAAATCCTTCCCTGTGAGGTGGGCAGGCCCTGGCACAGGGTGCCCAGACAAGCTGTGGCTGCCCCTGGATCCCTGGAAGTGTCTAACACCAGGCTGGACAGGGCCTGAAACAACCTGTGACAGTGGAAGGTGTCCCTGTCCATGGCAGGAGGTGGGACTGGATGGGCTTTGAGGTTACTTCCAATCCAAGCTGTCCTATGATTCTATGTCATACACGGCTTCAAAGCTAGGAGATCCAGAGAAAATACAACAGAAAGAAAAATCCTGCATTTTATTGGACTTGAGCTTCCGGAACAGGACATGCCACGCTGTGCCACACAAGCCTCAGACACACACTCTGTTGCCGAGCACTACACATGGAAAAAGTCACAAAGTCATCCCTAAAGAAGCAGGAGCAGCCCCTGGCAGGAAACAGTTTCACAGTCCACAGGCAACTAAATAAATGAAGGATTCATAAACACGCTGAGCCAGGGACCAAGAGCAGGGGAGAACTTCCCCCAAACCTGCCACGGGGCTGGGGCCAGCAGTGAGGCACCCTCCCCACAGCCACTGCCACCAGAGCCACAGGTGGGGCTTTTGGGAAGGGGAGGAAGACGGGGCAAAGTGAGGAGCAGTCAGGCCTGCACACCTGGGCATCATCTGCCAACCTGCCTCGGGGCTCTGGGCACCAACTTCCTTAGCAGGAAACCTTTTATTTCTTCCTGTGAAAAGCAGAAAGAGGAGAAAGGTGTGAGCACAGAGAAAATGGGGTCTGGGAGAGGAAGCTCCTGCCCCAGCCGAGGGAAGTCGCAGCCAGGATGGCCACAAACCCAGCACAGGCACCACAGAGCAGGGCAGCTTTCCTGGCATCATCACACTGCTGCACCAGCCACCAGCCAACCCTGCTCCTGCCACTGCTCCCCCAAATCTAAATGCAGCACTTGCAGCGTGTAAGCCAGGGGTAGCATGACCCACAGATGGGTCGTGTGGGGCTGAACACTGCTTTGCACAGCAAAGTGTTGCCCCTCATTGCTTTGGAAGAGGGTCCTTTGGACAGCAGCAGCTCTCCCAGAGCTCCTGGGCCCACGAGAGCTTCCCAGAACCGTGGGTGTACTGGGATGCTCTCCAGGGACACCTGGGCCAAAGGAGTTTCCACCCAACAACTTACGTGCTGGCAATGCGCTTCAGCAGCTTCTTCACCCAGGGGGCTTCGGGATTCACACACACCTTCCCTGAGGTTCTTAACTTAATGCTGAAATGCAAGGAGAGCTCCTGAGCATTCCTGTCCCCTCCAAAGGCAGGCATTCAAGCAGCCAGAGCTGATGGGGAAGAGTCACCTTTTGCTCACAGTACCAACAATTGCAGAAAGCTGCCAGAGACAGAGAAAGCCACAGCATGGCTGGGAACAAGCAAGACGCAACACATTCCTACGTGGAGCGGACACTTGAAGCCCAGAACATTGCTCAAAGTATTTTTTCTGGAGATTTACAAATGTATCAACGCCAAGCAGCTAGAAAAACCTGGGAAAACTTGTTAGGGCTCATGCTGCCTCAGTGTCGGAGGAAGTGCTTCCTCCAGGCTGCAAACAGCCCTGCTGCAGCTCGAGGAAACCACGCTTTCCCCTGCTGGAGAGATTCCTTTAGGCCCTGGGGATCCGCATTTCTGCCCCTGACGTTTTCCAGCCAGGAAGCAGGTGGCGCTTTTGGAAAGGTTCAGATTCCAGAAGCGGGATGGGGGCAGCAGGGCAGCCCCCGGCACTTACATGATCTCCGTGCGCCTGCAGCTGCTGCCCACGGGCCTTATCTCAATGCTCTCGTATTTCTTGGGACTGATGTATTCCGAGGTTGTCTTGGCACACCGACAGCTCAGGTTCCCGTTCACCTCCAGGATGGCTGAGGGACAGAGAAGGTGGCAGCTGCAGGCGCAGACAGGCTGACAGGGCCCACAGTGAGCGGCTGCCACCTGCCCCTGCTCGGTTCCCTGCTCCCAAAAGCTGAACCAGAGCCCTGCAAAGCACGCTGGTGCTTTTCCCCTGGCAAACAACAACAACAACAAGGCCAGCCCTCACCGAGCAGGCAGGAGGATGCCAAGCTCGCAGTGGCTCTGGGTACAGGATGATGCAGCAAAGGCTCCGGGCTCACCTGCGTGGGCAGGGTGGGACAGCAGCAGCAGCAGCAGCCAGGGGAGCAGGGGCGCTCCCATCCTCAGCGAAGGCGCAGCCCCACAGGCAGGAGGGGAGCACAAACAGCCCTATTTATCGCACAAACAGCCCTATTTATCAGGGAGGGTCCCGCCCCGACACGGGTGCAGAGCTCACAGCTCGGCAGTCACGCCCGGCCGGCACAGACACACAGCTCATCTCTCACACGCTCCCCACAGACAGCCCAGAAGCTCGGTGATCAATATTTGTAACTAAAACCAGCCTTTGGGACGCAGTGCAACGTTTGGACTCCCCACACATCCCCCTTCACTCCCTTGAGCATTTACCCCTCAGCCACAAAAAAAAGCCCAGAATGAAAGCAGAGCCCAAGCCCCTGACTAAGCAGGGGGGATTTCAGCATACTCAGACATTTACATATTTCTTTCTTGGGGCTATATTTTCCCCACGCTATTTTTGCCGCCTCTCTCATCAGCAAAAACGCCTCACGCCGTGCCAAGGAAAAACAATCGCGATCTCCCTGCTCTATGCTTGCACTCAAATCCTTCAAATTTTCGAGTAACTCACCCAGGATGGCCACAGGAGCACCCTGTGCCCTCAGGTGTTGGTGGGATGGGGGCTTTGCCCTAAATAAATTCACTGAAGTCACCAGCCGGGAAGCAAAAGGGGAAGGGGATATGCGGCGAGGCAAGGAGAAAGGAAGAGGCCACAAGAAAAGAGATGTGGTTGTGTGATAATGTTGTAATTTGGAACTTTCAAATCACATCAGCATTTTATATAGCTTGTTACCAAAATAGTAAATATTTTTTTTAAAGTATTTCATTCAAGCTACACATCTCTCTTTGAAAATCTTGGGTTTTTCCTCTGAGATAGGTCCAAAAGTTTTGTGAAGTGCAAGAGATGAGTGGGGAGTTTAACTCCCTGTACACCAGGGTCACAGAGAGGCCAGGGACAATTTCCACGAGCTATTCCCAAAATCCTACAGAAAGAATGGGTGCCTTGCTGTCACAGCAGTGGAAGAGGAGATGGCCTTAAAACTGGGTTTTCTTTAACACTTCCAGAGTTCTCAATTTCCTTGCAGAGAAATTATTAGAAGGAACACAACCAAGGGCTGGTTTTGCTGGGTTGTGGCAGGAGTTTCTTAGAAAAAATGGTGGGAAAGGCAGCAACTTAGCAGAGAGATGACTGGTCACCTATGCAAACTGCAATGAAGGCATAAAAGACATGTGAAAATCTTTCTGAAGTTCCTACCTATAAAATGGTCCTGCTTTTTAGAACTGGGAAAAAACAAGAGAAGTGAAAGCAACTTTCCCCAGAAAAGATGGAGCTGGACCATTCAGCTGCTGCACTTCCAGCACTGGAGGAATCCAGCAGCATTCGTGGCAGTGCTTAATGAAATTGGTACAAGAAGAAAATGATCCCTGGATACATGCAACAGACAGAGCAAGATGAGCCAGATCCTGTCCCTGATTTGTGGCCACAGGGCAGGTGTCCACCTCCTGCCCGCCCTGGAAAGAAGCAGGAGCTCCAGAAGCATCAGCTGGATGGATTTTGGGAGGCTGTGTGAATGGCCAGGGTAGCAGACACGGTGCTGTGCTGGATTAGAAAGATGTAAGTGATGAGCACTGGGCTGGTTTCTCAGAAGGAAATGCCACAGCCATGGTGGCGGCAGATATTTCTGCACAAGTGGTAATTCTGCAAAGGGAGAAGCAGGGGGAGGATGTGAGCCACGTCTGCATTTACGCTGACTGCTTCCTGGATGCCAGGAATCCAGAAGAGTGGCCCTCAAGTAGGGATGTGTGGCATCATCCAGGCCAGCCTCAACTGAAACACAGCCAAAGCACCCTCACAGCTTCTCTGTTTTCTGCAGCAGCTGCCCCTGTGCAGGCAAGACTTTGATTTTAGTGATTTTTTTATCTAATTCTTATTGGATTTTTGTAATATTTCTTACACCTGTAATACTTTTTAATCCTTCCTAAATCAGAGCCCTCCAAAGAAGTGGTGCAAGCAGCACCTAAAGGCCACAGGGAAAACCTTTCCATGTTCACCAGGATGGGCAGAAACCCAACCCTGACGTCGGTGCCAAGGAGATGCAGCTCTCCAGCCCTTCAGGGAGGACTCACAAGAGGCTGCATCACAAACATCTGCAGCAAACAAACCTCTCAAAGAGAATCACTTCAGAGAAAGTGATTTTTCAGCTTACTCCTCCTTTGCCCATAACTCACTCAGGGCGCCTTGCAGGAGAGAAAAAAAACCCCAACCTGTGGGGTTTTTTTAAAATTATCCCCCAAAAACCCCAAGCGCAGTGAATCTTCACCACTGTGGTTTGTGGTCCATCACCTGCTTCAAAGATAAAGATGCTTCCTGCCCAAACCTAAGAAACCTGAAACCCACACACATTTCAGTGTCAACATGACAGCACCAGAATTAGCCAAAACCTAACGAAACCAGTTCAAAATTAGGTTGGGTGAACAACACATCGAGCTCACTCTTACTTGCTGCCTTCAAGTGAAGATGCATGACTTGCTGCTGATGCAAGGGGACAAAATTGTGAGTTTGGGCCATTTTTGGAGACAGCAGAGTGGGGTCGTGACACCACTGTAAGCACGTGAGAAACCTGCTCTGGCATCTTTCCAAGTATTTGGTGTGCTGAGGGCTAAAGAAGGGCAGCTTCAAAAGGGATTGGATAAGGAAGAGGGAGCAAGGCTAGGAGCAAGAACAGGAGAAATTACAGAACACTTAAGAAACCTAAATCCAACATAACTGCCTCCCTGGTCCATCATGGGGACCTCTGGGGAGCAGCTTTCTCCTGCTGAAAGGACAGCAATGCAAAACCAGGGATGCACAGACCCAAGGGGAAGCTTCTGGGAAGTCCTGGCCACCCCAGAGACACAAATGGCAGTGAGCAAGCGCAGGAGGAAACCCCCAGACCTCTGTGGCAGCCCATCCTTGCTGCTGGAAAAGCACCATGAGGAACACCCCAGCACCCCCAGGTTGCTCCAGAGCTCTCCCCTGGTTTCCTGCCCGAGCCACTCCGAAACGCACCCAAAACGGAGCACAGGAGCACCGCTACTCCTCAGTGCCACTTCTGCCTGGCACAGAGCATGTCGGGCAGGAATGGCAGCCAAGGACTTTCCCACAAAGTGTCACCAGGGCCATGTGGCCCAGCTGGCTCCCCACAATTTGCATGTGGGCACAGGAACCGGTCTAGACGCTGCAGGTGCTGCCAAGCCCTCGGGCGCCGTTGGCCATTTGCATCGGGGCACCCTGGGACAGCGAGGGCTCAACCATGGAGCAAGGGGATGAGGAGGATAACCTTCATCCTGGGCCAGGAGGGAGCCAAGGAACAGCAGCTGGGCTGTTCTAAGTGAGCTGTTCCTGGCGACTCGGCCTTGCTGCCCTCGTGTCAATGGCACGATGTGGCGTTCACACATCCCCGCTGCATGCAGGAAGGCCTCTGGCTTTGAGCACTTCCTTCTGGGGCTGCTGAAGCAGCATTCCAGGTCTATTCACAAAACCAAACCTCCTCCAGCTACATCCAGCCCAAGCTTCACAAGCTGGGAAGTTTCTGCTGAACTCAAAGGCTGCCATTGCTGGCGCTGAGATATTCCTATTGGGCAGCACATTCAGGCAAACACTTGACAACAGCCCTGGCTCTCCAAGCTCTCCAAGAGTGTTATGGCAAAGTCTCCTCCCCTTGCCCTTGAAGCCTGATATCTTGATAAATGCAGCTACAAGTTTGGTTAGAGTCCAGTTCAGCATTTTATGTTTTTCCAATTATTTGCGGTTTCCATTTTAGTTGAGCCCATAATTTAGTTGTCTCCACATTACTTGCAGAATAACCCGTAACTATTATATCTGGTAGAGTTTAACATGGCCTTGACCCATTTTCTACTGGTTAAGTCAGAAGACAGCAGCCCATCCACAGAAAACAGTGCTTCTCTCCTCAACCACACACAAGGTAAAAACTCACCAGAAATGGACCCAAAATCAACCATGCATCCTGGGCTTACACCTAGGGTTGTTACTTTCATTAATGTGCACTTAACATTTTGAGGCCCCATCTCTTCTTGCCAAGTGCCTCCCCACTTTTTTCCCTTGGGGAAGATGTTTTCCCCACATTTCACCCACAAGACACCATAGGAGTAGATATTTTTCTATTGGGAAAAACCCCAAACAAGCCAAGAGCTGCTCTCCAGCAGCAAGTAGAAGTGCACACAGCAAGGAGGGGAAATCTAGGTCTTCACTGAGAAGGAAGCTGCAAGACCAATGAAATGAGCAGCCTTCCCTTTGGAAAGCCCCTTGTCAACTTTTCTCTTGGAACCAGCACCCCTGAATCAGCACTCACACCCAGCGATGCTGCCAGAAGAGACCGAGAAACTCCAGTCCAACTTCTGCAAAGGATGTAAATCTCAGCAGCTGAAAGAACCGATACTGAAAGGAGTCCTCTTGGGCTACAGCCATCCAGCATTGCCCAGGTCTGGGGGCTGCAAGAAAGGTGGCTCGAGCGTGTCCCAGGCTGGGAGGTCACCGAGCTGCGCCCTGCCAGGTGGGAACGCGGAGGGAGATGAAAGGGAGAGAAGAAAGGCCCCGGGAGACACATGAAAGTGAAACCAAGAGGCACCAAGCCACGAAACCCGCTTTGATCTTTGCTCAGCTTTTATCTCGCTGTCACCTACCACACACACCCTGAAACCCAGCAAGGCCTCAGCACTCACATCTGTCCCAGGGCAC